TTACTCCTTTACGACACATCATCATGAATTCATCATCATTTCAACAAGGAGAACGTACAGTTCTCCTTGTTTTAATAAATTTATCAGGTGTCTAAGTTTCGGCTAATTTTTCAAGAGAAGATGGTAAAGAGTTTGTGTAATTGTAGGTACTTCATACATTAACACTATTATTAACTATTTTTTCATAAACTATAACTAAATCTAATGAAACTTTACCGCAATATTTTTTTGAATTGATTTTTTCAATACATCTGCAATGTCCAACGCAAATCGTTCAATGAATTCAGGGATAGTAAATGGATCTATGTTTTCAATTCTATGTTCAACTATATTATTCAAACTGATTCTATTACTCTTGCACACGATTTCCTTGCACAATCACCTAATAATAAAAACTAATTTTAACACTCAGTTTAAATTATGCAGTGATAGAGTAATGTTGTGCGTGCTCGTTTTTTCCTCTCTAATCTATTTTTATGTACTATTATATTTACTTGAAGTTTAGTTAACAATTGGATTATGGGTTGTGTGTGTTTTGTTTGCTATCTTAATTTTGCTGACTTTAATGTCCCAATAAAATGTGATGGTTGTAATTTTCAAGCTCATAGTAAATGTTCTGGACTTACAGCTGATGAGCAAAAATGTTTTTCTTTAAAAAGTCGTACCATAAAAAAAATTCTTTTGTCCGTCTTGTGAAAAAGGCTTACGCGATATTCCAGAATTAAAAGATTTAATTAATCGATTGTTAACAGAAGTTAACCAACTTAAATTGTCAATTAGTGCAAACTCAGTTATTTCTGAAGATTTCTAATTAATGAATTAAATGATCGTAATCTGAGAGTTTCAAATCTAATTATGTATAATATTCCGGAATCAAATAAAANTTCCGGAATCAACAGCTGTTAATACTGCTGATAAAATCAGACATGATGAAATATCAGTATCTAATATTATTAGCTCCATTGTTAGTGATTCGGCTATCAAGCCATTAAAGTTGATAAGATTGGGTAAACAAATCCAAGCTAACTCAAAGACTCACCCAATTAAGATAATGTTACCTACACCGCGGATGAATTTGATATTTTGAGAAATAAGAAAAAAATAAAATAAATCCAGCCTTCATCGGACATTTTCATCATCTCTGATCGTACTCCTTATCAAAGGACATTTATGAATAAACTTCGCGATGAATTAAAGGCACGTAACTCCAAGGGAGAAAATGATTTAACAATAAAATATATAAAAGGTACACCTGCAATTGTTTTAAGAGAACGCCGTTCAATTACTCAAATAAATAATTTTTGACATTAAATATTTTTTATCAAAATATAAGAGCTTTTTTCGTAATTCTATTTTAAATTTACATAATGATGTAATATTTATCACTGAAACATGGTTAAATAATAATGTGTGTAATGCTGAAATTGGCTTTGAAGCTTTTAATCTATTCAAAAATGATCGACAAGTTAGGGGAGAGGTGTTTTAATTACCGTAAAGAAAAATTTAAAATATGAGAAAATTAGTATCAACTCCTTAGATGAAACTGATCAGCTATTTTTAAAACTTAGTTTATCAAATGATGAAATAGAAATAGGCTTTAAATTACCTTCTAATATACAAGTTCTTAGAGTATTGTTTCATAATATACGTGAAGTCAAATTAAGCATTCGTGATAGTGCACGATTAGTAATAGATGAGGTTTTAATATTTTGGCAAAGAGCTCGCATTCCAACTCGTAAAGTACGTCACTGTATATTAAAATTGGAAGTAATTTACGACGAATAGCAANTATTAAAATTGGAAGCAATTTACGACGAATGGCGAAGTTTGCAAAAAAATGCATCACGACAAACTGATACTCAAAAAAAAAAAGAAAATTGTTTTATCGATAAATTTGACGACCTTTTTGATATAGCACATGCTGACGCTATGAATCTGATGAGTATTGAGTTGGATAAACAATTTTTAATTCGTCAACGTGAAAAAGGTCGTCCGGGATCGTTGAGTGGAAATGATTATGATTCATATCAAGCTGAACAAAAAAAGTATTTACGCTTTGAAAAAACAGAAAAAAGAAAAAAACGTATTTATGATGAAATAAAAGCATCGTGTAAGTGTTTAATTAACTTATAAATGTTCTATTATATTATATTATTTATGTATAATAATTGCAGATGATACAGTTGAGTTTTATTCAGGATCATCAGAAAGTGACACTGACGATGATAGTCAAATCATGTCGATCAATGATGATTCAATTTTTGAGAAAACATTATGTGAACCTGGTCCATCTACTAGTAAACGAGCTTCAAAACAGTTTCTCACTAACAAACTTGTAGCTGCATTGGATAGATGTAAGATCAGTGACAGAGACGCCACTCATTTACTTATAGCAGAGGCTGAAGCATTTTGTCAAAACGTTGATAGTTTGGTAATAAATAGTTCGTCAATACATAGAGAACGTCAAAAGTTACATAAAGAACAAGCTTTAAATTTACGTGAAAACTTTCAAATTAGCTTATTTAGTAATGCAATCATACACTGAGATGGAAAATTGCTTCCTTCGTTAACTTCAAAAGATCTTGTTGACCGATTACCAATAATTATTTCTAGTGGGGATCATGAACAACTTCTAGGTGTACCAAAATTATCAGAAGGAACTGGAGAGGAACAGGCTATAAAAGTATATGAATCGATTAAAGAATGCGGTCTAAAAATTCAGTTGTAGCTGTTTGCTGTGATACTACGTCTTCAAACACCAGTAGATTAAAAGGCACATGTATATTACTAGAACAACGTCTTGAAAAAGATTTGTTGTATTTACTTTGTCGACATCATATTTATGAAATTGTTTTAAAAAGTATTTTTGAAGAAAAATTTGGTTCAACCTTAGGGCCTAATGTTCAACTTTTTAAAAAATTCCAATTTTTTTGGACAGTTTTCAAAAGTCTTTAAACGAGTGTTATAATCGGCAAACTCTTTGTGTTTAGAGAGTTTAATTCTAGGCTGCTGGTCATTAGACATCGAACAGTAAAATCCACAAACATCATATCCTGAACAAGAAGAATTGAAAAGTAATTTCACGTAGATAGTATCGCACCGTAATATACAGTTTTAATTTCTTACCTGAATTTTCATTGAGGCGATTTCATACGCCTTATACGTTTCATTTCCACTGTCCATTTTTGATCGAATACACATTGATACTAAACGTATAACCGAACAACAGCGTAAGTCGCAATCAGTGGAATGATTAAACTAAGCAAATTAATTTTGTGTGGACACTAAAGCTATTTAAAGTCACACATGGTCTGATTTTTTTTTTTGTAGATTTCATTCAACGCGTGAAAATACTACAACTCTCTTAAATTTTTGAAAAATGTATTAGTATAGTAAATTTTTTTACATATTAAAATGAGTTGTTTTTTTTTTTTAGTTTCACATATAAAAATAATTAATTATTCAATTTATCAAAGTACGATATCATTTGTAATATTTATATTACTATCTTGAAAATCATTAAAAAAAAAAACATTATTAGTCTAATTTCGTTTGTCAGCTATTTTGTTTAAATAACACCCGTTGACATTTCAATGGTACGTTCGTTCTACTGTTTCAATACGTTTTTCCAATATAAAAACACGATCATCGATTGCTATGTAATCTCGACCGAGCGCGTCAAAACGATTAGTTATTACAAACAAGTTGTTTTTTAAATTGTCGATGTTGTCCGCATCGTCGTATCCGATATCGCTGTCGCTACTGTTTACGATCTGATATCTGCTACTGTCAACGGTTTGTGTGAAATGCATTAAAATCAAAAAGATTGTTGCAGCCGTTATGCAAAAAAATAATCCGATACACGAAGCATCCATCTGTTTAATATGCTCCCACGACGTGTAAACAACAATTGACCTTGAAGTAATGCTGTTTCTGATATTGCGCCTACGCGTTATGCACGTGTTCAANGAATCCCCTGATGCAGTAACCTGTTTCTCCGTATGGTTTTTTTTATCAAACACAACGATTGTCAGAATGTCTGGAATTTTTAACGGAACCACATGGAAGGGGTATTCATCATTTACGAAACATTGACTTAAACTTAAACGAAAACGTCGGGGTGAATTGGCACGGCTGTATATAGGGTTGTGACATACCATACGCGCGGACTCGACGCGTACTATACGTACGTTGAACCGTTAGCGTGTAGGTACTCTGGAAAATGAACTTTTTTTTTTTTGACCGACCCGACTAACATATATGTTATATAGTTGGGATTGTGTAACGGGCCAGCCGTAGTAGGTTCAGGTATGACGTCATAGGGCTTACCTTGGGTCAGTGTTGAAGTGTGACGTCGGCCACCATAGGGCTTACCCCCTAATATTAATGTTTAGGTATGACGTCACAGCGGCTTACCCCTTTGGTCAATGATATGACGTCGTCAACTGGGGGATGACGTCACGAGCTGCACCTGGATGCAGTCCCCACGGGCGCCGTTGCCGGGGGTTGACGGAAGGTCAGGTGTGACGTCATCATGACGGAATGCATCTCACCTGTGCACCTATTGCACATTTACCCGGGAACAATAGATGAACAGCACCTTTGAGAGCCCGTACCGCCGCACACCTGTACACCTATTGTTTTCCACGAGAACAATAGATGACGTCATTGTCGGCACCTTTGAGAGCCCGTACCCGCTATTTATATACTACTCTCGTACTCATACCCTGAGTAATAATATTATTAATACAACAAAAATAGTAACTCACAGCTCACCCAGCGTTGTCAGGTTGGGTTTAAAGTCTGCGTTCAATTTCTATGCCATCGCCCTACTACGTGTTTAATATAATAATAATGTAGTTAAATATAATAATGTATATGGTAGTGTACTTAAAGGATTTTGCTGGATTATACGAAAACAATGTACTGCTATTCACTTAATATATTTATTAATTTATTAGAAAAATGTTAATGAGCCATACAGTTGATTTAACTCAGTTAACTCAGTTTACAATATTATAAATAACTGTAATAATAAACAAAAAATTACATTAATATTATATGGCCTTTTCATTTTTCGAAAATGAAAAATATACATAAATTTTTTTTTTTTATAAATAATAAAGCTATATTTTTAATAAAATTTTAATATTCTAACGTATTAATATTCTAACAATTACTAAAATAATATTAATAATGTAAAATATAGACAATATCAATATTTATTATTGTTAGAACATGGCAGACTCACCTTGTATACACACTAATACATTATATAATATTTCCATGACTAATCATTGTTTATGAAAAAAAATTGTACCTGTAAAAAAATGTTTATATTAAAACGTGAAGACGAAAATAGTTTTAGATATTTTGCTTACAATATTGGTGGTCTGTTACTTCCTTCGGTGTCATCGCCTAGTATGAAAATTAAAGTTCAAAATGTTAAAAAACTGTTTTGGTTAATTAGTAGAAATTTTATATATGTTAAATTATTAGTATTAATAAATATAGACAGTAATTATTACTGTTAATATTACTTATAATCTATTATTGTAAACAGTGAATTGTATTTTATTTAAATTGCATATTTTTAGATTTTAATATTCCAAAGTTGATATATTTTTATTATGTTCATGTTTTTTTAAAACTGGTATATAAACATACAAAATACTGCATTAATTTATAAACAAATTTAAATAGACATTGATTGTTAAATTCGGTGCCAATTAAATGTGGTAAAATTTCATTTCTCATATATAAGAAACAATGTTTTCATTATAAGGGAATATTTTCCAAAATTAATTAATTATGGTTATCAAGATTTATGAATATAATACCGTCCCTCTTATATATATAAGAGGAACGGTGTGGCCGAGTCTGTAACGCGACAGTGCTTAACGACACGCACTGCTTCAGGTTCGAAACTCTTGGGCGACTTCATTTGGCGAACGAGAGATCGGTTCGGTAATTGGAGTTGCCATCTCTATCTCTGACGACGGACTATCCCAACCCATCTCGGAATATTAATGGTTAAGAAATCTCCTCCTTTGGCGGAGGCCACTACGACCCTTAATGGGCTGATAAAGCAGTAAAAAAAAAAAAAAAAGGTATTCACGATATTATCATGACTTTAAATCTCTTCAAATAAAAAAAATAATTTTTTTGCAATATTCACGATTAATCACATTAAAAATATCACACTGATGTATAGGAATGTCGGATCATTCCTCANGATTACTCACATTAAAAATATCACACTGATGTATAGAAATGTCGGATCATTCCTCACAGTGTGATATTTCCTATGTTTTATGAAAATAAATAAAGCTTTATCTATATATTTTAATGAAAAAATCATTATTAAACAAAAGAATTGAGAGTATGTATAAACTTACATTGATTAGACAACGGATCTTCGGTTTCTGATGGAACAGCTAGATTATGTTCCATGTACATACAATTATTTATACATTTATATACGTTTTTAAATTAATTTTAGTTTTTTTTTTATTTTTATCTATATATTTTAATGAAAAAATCATTATTAAACAAAAGAATTGAGAGTATGTATAAACTTACATTGATTAGACAACGGATCTTCGGTTTCTGATGGAACAGCTAGATTATGTTCCATGTACATACAATTATTTATACATTTATATACGTTTTTAAATTAATTTTAGTTTTTTTTTTATTTTTATCTATATATTTTAATGAAAAAATCATTATTAAACAAAAGAATTGAGAGTATGTATAAACTTACATTGATTAGACAACGGATCTTCGGTTTCTGATGGAACAGCTAGATTATGTTCCATGTACATACAATTATTTATACATTTATATACGTTTTTAAATTAATTTTAGTTTTTTTTTTTTTTTTATCTATATATTTTAATGAAAAAATCATTATTAAACAAAAGAATTGAGAGTATGTATAAACTTACATTGATTAGACAACGGATCTTCGGTTTCTGATGGAACAGCTAGATTATGTTCCATGTACATACAATTATTTATACATTTATATACATTTTTAAATTAATTTTAGTTTTTTTTTTTATTTTTATCTGTATATTTTTATGAAAAATAATTATTTAACAAAAGAATTGCGACTACTATTCAACATATAAACTTACATTGATTAGACGTCGGAACTCCAAATTGTGGTCGAACATTATCTAGGTTTACACATACAATAATTTATACATTTTTTATACGTTTTTAAATTAACTTTAGTTATTTTTTTTATTTTAATTTGTATATTTTTATGAAAAAATATCTATTCAACAAAATAATTGCGAGTAGTATTCTTAATGAATTACATGTTTTTAATTATAATTTTTTATAAAGTAACATACTTTGTCTGGATGACGAAGCTCTAGCCATTTGTGGGACAAAACCTAGGATTACGCAAACAATTATTTATACATTAATTATACGTTTGAAAATTAATATAAGCTATTTTTTATTTAATATATATATATATATTTAAAATCTATACGATATATAATTTTAGCTTTGATACAGAGCTGAGAATGTATTGGTTTTAAAGTGTTGTGTTTTTTTGTTTGTCCATGAAAATCCTCAGCTCTCTCTATTTGTTTTTGTTTATGCATCAAAAGAACCCGATTTTAATATAGTTCAATATGAAGCACCGAAAATTTAAACAAAATTCGATCAATTTAAGACATTTAAAAAATATTCCAAAATTACATACCATAAAAAATAAGCTAACGTAAAATAAAATTAAAAAACAATTTTCTGAATACTGAAAATGTTCACTGATCCTAATGAAATTTTAGCCAACTATACTAGAGACAGTAAACTTTCTTATGATATTTCAATGAACAACTTAAGTACAGGAAGGGTTTGATAAAGACAATCCATATACAATTAAATATGTTTCAATTAAATTTTTGAAGTGTTCAGAAACATTTGATAATTTTTAACTTATATTAAATAATAGCTTTTGAAGGGTACTGTAATATTATAATAAAAATAAAATCGAGAATTTTAACACAAAAATAGCATATTATTTAAGGATTTAAATATTTTTTTGAAATCTCTTACAAAACCGTATATTTAATGAATTTTTATTATGGAATATACTGTACTACAGAAATATATTTTGTTAGTTGTGTGATCTCCACAGCTAAACTCTTTATTAATAATGATTATTTAAGAAAAATAAGCACGAATATCTATTATCAATAATTTAATCTTAATGATTAAAACAAACTTTATAAATACTTTTGTTTAAACCCTGATTATTAATGTTATGTTGTATAAGACGTATTGTATGATGTACGGGTTAGTTTATGATCGTTTCTGAAGTCTAAAACATGCAGGAGAAAGACGTAAGGATTAGACTGTATAAAATGAATAAAAATGTATTGGAAGAATATAAAACAACTAACTGTACTCTAACATAAATCATAAAATCTTATATATGTACTAATGGGGTAGGGAGGGCACTTAACACTAATGCCACACTGGCGCAAAGACAAATTAATAGTAATATATTTAAAAGTAATAAGATAATGACAAATAATATGATTAATAATAAGACAAATAATTAACTACATATCAATTACTGTAGTCGTAAAAATTACAAGAATGAACTGTTCTTGAATAACTTTGCCATCAAATGGTAAATACAATTCATTAACACCAATGGGATGTGATTAATCGCAAGGCGATGGGTACAGGCGAATTCACTATATTTACGTACTGAGGTACACGCGAATCTCTAGGGCGATTGTCTTTATAAAAAATAACTATTATTTATGAAAAGGCATCATAGAAAACTTTGACGAGGGCCAAAAATAGTAACAGCAACACATACACTACTACTCAAAGGATTTCTACATCGTTTGCGTACATAAACATACAGCGTAATGATTCTCTCGCACAACCGGTGGTGGTAGTGCGAGTACGGTTATCAGTCATAATAAATATAGTTAAAAAAAACTAAAAAACACGCTTTTAAACTATATTTATTTTTCACTTTTTAGTTTCATGTTATGATAGTAGTTAATATCAATGTCATGGTTGTAACGGGTAACGGGAAATCAGGGTTCGATTCCCGAGAGGGAGTCTAAGAAACGACTACCACATCCAAGGAAAGCAGCAGGCGCGCAACGTGGTGGTAGTGACGAAAAATGACATACGGGAATCATCCCCCGTATCGGAATGAATATACTACATATCTCTTAATGAGTATAAAGCGTATTAATATATAAATTTTAATAATAATTAGAATATATATATATATATACATGTAAAGCGACTTAAGTACGTAAACGTATCACGCATGAGGTATAGCCGTGTTTTGTGGGCGGGAGTGGCGGGGGGAACATTATACACGAGGCATATACGGCGGCAGCGGCGTCGGCTGTAGGAATATATAAATGAATATTAATATATGAATATATATATT